TAATTAACACACAGTCATCCTCAATTTATGCCAAACAATCTTCAATCAATCTTCAACAAATAGTTCATACATTTTACTTGTTTGGTTGTTACAGTGTTATCTATATTTTGGTCATTTTGGTTTTTACTTTGCTTCAATAAATATTACAATGTTTAGTTGTTAAAATGTCAAATTTACAGATAATACGCTAAATAAAACATTCATAGTCTTTTTTAGCTATATTATTGCCAGATTTGGCTTTTGATATCAGTGTTGTTTTATGCAAATTTCATTTAAAATATTGATTATAATCTGATTATTTGGGTCAAATTTAAGGGTTAATAACAGGTTTGAATTCCTTGATTATTAACATGACATTTTTTTTTACACTGATAAATTTATCACTGTTCAAACTAACAAAAACCAGCAACTCTCTCTCTTTCTCTCTCTATTTTTCCCAATTCAAGTAAACAAAACACTATAAAATAAAATAAAAAATTTACCTAAATTGAATATTAAAACACAAACACTATTATATTGTCCAAATTGAAAATTAAAACACTGTTACAGTTTGTAAATATTTTCAAGTTTGGGAATAATGTAAGAAATATGTCATTCTGGGTATATGGAGTTGAGATAAAGTTCTTACAGTAAATTCAAAAAAACAAACCCTACATACATTTTAACATTTAACTCTGAGAACCAGTTATTTATGAAGAATATGATCTTATTCAAGACTTGATGATAAACTGTTGCACCTAAACATGAGAACGTAGAAGCATTTCCTAGGCTGAAATGTTGAACAATTTAAACTGAAAATAAATTGCAAACTCGAAATATCTTACTTCAAGGATCCCATTGATAGTTAATCGCATAGTGACAGTGATATAGGACAAATTGGGAAACTTAGTCCCAAGCCGCCTACTATTGATTTTTGTTGGGTTTAAGCCAGTGATAAATTTATCACTGTAGAAAAGAACATTTGGTTGGATATGACAATGATAAATTTATCAACCACTAACATAAATGTAATAAACCACAAACTCTTTCCATACAGTCAGTGATAAATTTATTATTCTTGAAAATAACAAAATTCAGCAATCCTATTAATACTTGATTGCTTCCTTCAGACAGTGGTAATTTTATCACTCTTTAAAAAAAAATCATCCTAACCAACTAGTGATAAATTTACCACTGTATAAAATACCAAAAACCAGCAACTACATTTAACCAAAATCAAAGAAATATAAATCTATGAAACTTAATCCTGTAAAAATATCACCAAAAAATATAATTTATGTTCAAAAAATTCCTCAATCATCCAATACAACTACCGAAATGATATATTTTTCAAAACATACTCAATCATTCAATGCAAGTAACACCTCTCAACTCTCAACAAAGTAATTCAATTAAAATCAATACAACTAAGGCAAAGCTTCTTCACATGTCTTCCGATTGTGAGTTCACATCTTTCCACATCTACTGTACCTAATTCTCTTAATTTCCCCCTTAGAAGGTATTCTCTCCATTCTTGGATGTTTAGCTAGTCTCTTACAAAGAAGAGGAAAAACAACGTCATCATCAACAACTACATTTGGCTTCTACATACTAAGAACTGGATAGATAAAATGTGAATAAGAATCATAATAATTACGAACACGGTAGTAATCATCAAGAAAATAATTCAAATCCTTCTCACTCCTCTTTATAGCACAAAAATCATTTTTGTAAGGAAAAGAATCAATTTCCCACAATCGACAAGAACAAGAACGTTTCCCAATATTAACTATAACTAAATGATCCAATTGGATTTCATAAATGTCATCGCTACATTTTTTGACTATCCATACCTTTGTATCATTAAAAACTTCTTCTAACTTTTTCTCTACAAAAAGACAAATAATATGATTCCACTTATTCTTAACTTCTCTCAGTTTTGAAAACAAATGGCGCTCATCCCTAATCCATGAATTAAAAGATTTCACAACATTTGTGCACATTTCACCATACCTCTTGCCTTGAAAATAAGCGTTACACCAACACTCATTAGACAAATCCTTAAGAAACTTCTGAACACTACGACCACAACGACCTTAAATTCTTCAAATAGCTCATTAAACAACTCAATAATAGGAGCATATGCGCATCTACTACAAAGAGTAAGCAAATACTCTTCAGATTCACGACTCTTCACTGACATATAAGTATTTAAGTTTGTCTTTAAATGCATTTGACAAAAAGAATGAGAAGAAAATAGAAATACCTCAGCTAAAGCTTTCAACAAACCTCCATGCCGATCGATCACAAACGCGATATCACTCCTCGGAGTCAAAATAACAAATAACTTTGATGAGAACTAATGCCAACTGTCATAACTTTCACTATCAACAATGGCAAAACATAACAGATATAAACCTACAAATAAAATATACACACTTTATCAGTAACAAATAAAAAAGATTACAAAACAAAAGCAAAACACAAAGTATATAGCATATAGCACCAACCATAGATAAATTTATCATTGTATAACTACAAAAATTCGATAGCAGCATACAACATATAGAATCAATGAATAATAAATTTATTAGTGTATAAATATGAAAATTTAACAAAAGTATACAGTATACTCACCCAACCAATAATAAATTTATCACTAATGAATTGACCATACTCAATAATCAACACTCTCTAGTAATAACAATGATAAAATTATCACTGTTTTAATAATACTAACAAATAGACACATAATATACCTTGGTTACCGTCTTTTACCATAGCAGCTAATAAACAACCTTTGTATCTTCCTTTCAAGAAAGTTCCATCAACTATCAACACAGGCCGACAATACTTGAAACCATAAATACATACTTTAAAAGAGAAAAACAAGCATTTGCAATGTCTTCCTTTACTATCAACATCAAATTCCATATCAAAACACTCTCCGGATTAACATCATTAGCGGCATCAACATACCAACGAAGATTGTCAAATGACGATGAATAGTCACCAAAAACAACACCCCTTGCTTTTTCAACACCTATCCAAGCTCGCCAATAAAAAATTATGTTCCATAATAGGTCTTGAAATCACAAACCACCTCACTAACTGATGTCAAAGGCGTATTACGAACCTCACTTGAAATTAGTCCACCAATCATACTTGAAGTCATCGTAGCATGTTTAACTGTACGAAAAGAAAATCCACACGTATGAACATCATCAAATTGTTTAATAACAAAAGCTTTACTATAATTTTTCACTTTAGCATGCATGCTCCATAAACATTCCAAATCAGTCCTTGTCTTACAATGAACAGTAACACAATCCTTATCATTCTTAACGAAATCAAAATCAAAATCGGAATGAATAGAATACTTTGACAACACATCTCGAAATTCAACAACTCCTTGAGCAAACTTTTGTTGCATTTCTTTCATACAATTAACCCAACCATCAAAAAGCAAAAGTTTTCATTGATTTGAATAAAATGAAGGCAAAAAATCAGTTTCACAAACAACACTACTACTACTACTAACTTCACCATCACAAATCACATAAAATTTACCCAAAGAACAACACTTAACAAAAACATCAATACGATGAATATCACAAGAAAGTGCGAGTCTAACCACAACCTCCAAATCCTCTTCACTTTCTAGACCACAACAAGAATGTCCAAGCATTGAATATGATATATTCAAAGAACTGTCAACTAACTCACTCCACTTTGCACACAATTTATATACTAAATTCTTGAAATTAAATCCATCATTATACTTGATAACCAATGTCACACCTCTAAACTTGCACATAAGAAACAAAGAATTTTCCATCACTATAAATTCTGCCACAAACAACAATTATATTTCAGCAAACATCTTAAACAAACTAAAATAAAATCTAATACAATGATAAAATTATCAATCAACTCAAACACATCCTAAAAACAACAATGATAAATTTAATAGTTAACACTACCAAAAGACCAAGAGAATGGAACAGTAAATAAGGCTTACACTTATTAGGCATGGTAACTCGATTTAAATCTTACCATTACACTATGCAACTTTTTTATCTCCTATTCCCACACTCACTGATAAATTTATCACTGTTGAAAAAAATTATTCCAACAACACCTCCAAAATACTCAGTGATAAATTTATCACTGTAGAAAATAACAAACTAGTAACTGTGTTCAACCAAAACAATTTTGTAACCAAAAAAATAAATAAATCTAATATTCATTACATATACATATCTCAAAACTTTCAATATCATGATCAAAATACAAATTCAATCGCAGAAACAACATCATAACAATAATATCACAAACAAAATCAAAATCACCAACTCAAACAAAAAATACAAAAACATCGAAATTGAAATCAAAATCAAACATACCAGTCGAGCTCCTTTCACAAAATCACAAATCACAAAATCTAAATATACACCAAACGCGAAATAACAACTCACGAAGACTCACAAATTTACAAAAGCAAATCATAAATCAAGCTCCCTCCACAAGATCGCAAATTGCAAAATCCAAATATATATCAAGCGCGAAATCACAAATTACAAAGCTCCACAAAAATGCATTAACAAGTCGTGAAATTTCACAGAAATCCAAATCACAATGCCAAACTCACAATCACAAATCCAAACCCAAACTCACAACATAGTATTTTGATGGCAAAAATCAAACAGAAAACACGCCAAAATAGGAAAAAATAAAACAGGGGTAAAACGGTACAAAAAATAAAACTCCAAGACCTATTGGTGCATAAAAGCAATCTTCAAAATTAAGAGTAGAATAACTATAAAAAATAGGACCAGCGAGTAAAAAAACACCCCAAATAGAATCCCCAAAATTTTGGATATTGATATTGATTTGATTGGGCTTAAACAGACTGGGATTTAAGGTGGGCTGGGTCAAATGAAAAAATGCTGGGCCGTCCCATTGCTCAGCTGCTCCTTTTCTCTCTCTCTCCTCTCTCTCCCCTTCTTCTCTGTATCCTTATCCAATTAGTTGTCCTATCTCTCCCTCATGTATCTTTCTAAACCTTTGACACACTTTCAAAAAGTTCATTCCTAAACTATTCATCTACAAGCACTTTTGTATACTGATACATACATATATACACATGTACTGTATATATATACAAATATTATGTGTATGAATGCGAATAGATATTGAAAAATGTCGTGTCTGTTACCGCAATTCAAGTGCCTTCCGGACACTTTCTCCTTCCATTTCAAATCCCACCTCCAGCCCACTAGCCAACTCCGTAAGTTACTGTGTGTGTGTGTGTGAGTTATGAATTCTTACATGCCCACCTCAATTATTCATTTGTTTTGCAATTAGAATTGGGATTGTCAAGTCTGGGTTTTTGGAACTGATGCTGAGTTATGACACTCTGTATTGCTTACTGTGTTATTGGTTGAATGGATCAAACCCATGTGTTGAGAGAATTCTTCTATATAGTTACTTTCTTTCTCTGTATGTGTGTTTGAATTCATACATATCTACCTCTATAATTCATTTGAATCGCAATTACAATTGGGATGTTCAAGTGTGGGTTTTTGTGGGTTTTTGGAACTGATGCTGAGTTTTGACACTTCCGCATTGCTATTTGTATTGTCGATTAATTATTAATTGATGAAGGTGCTACTCTATAGTTACTTTCTCTCTTTGTTTTTGTGTTTGAATTCGTACATATCTACTTCTATAATTCATTTGAATTGCAATTAGAATTGGGAGGTTCAAGTGTGGGTTTTTGTGAGTTTTGGAACTGATGCTGAGTTATGACACTCCGCATTGCTATTTGTGTTATCGATTAAACGGGTCAATCCCATTTGTTGAGAGAATTCTGTTAATTGATTAAGATGATTCTCTATAGTTACTTCCTCTCTCTGTATGTGTGTATGAATTCATACATGGCTACCTCTATCATTCATTTGGATTGCAATTAGAATTAGGATTGTAAAGTTGGTGTTTTGTGGGTTTTGGAACTGATGTTGAGTTCTTTCCATTGGTATTTTGTGTTGAGAGAATTCTGTTAAGATGATTCTCTATAGTCCGATTTTGTTATTGGCATTTGTTTATTTGTTTATACCTAGGGCCGGCCCTAAGTTTAAGATTGGGCCCTCTTACATATTTATGAATAGAAAAAAAGGTTTGAGAGTGAAATGTTAAGCACCCACAATATATATATATATATATTTTTTTTTTTTTTGTTAAAAAAAAAAGAAGAAGAAGAAGAAAAAGAAAAAGAAATTTGCTAGTGACCACACAGTTTACTTTCAGGAAAACACAATAAAGATATAATGGCAAAAGAACCCTCTCAACTGGTCCTCTGTAGTCTGCTTTCCTGTGTCACAGCCATCAACCTGGAAGTTTTAGCCTAATGAACAAATGTGTTTGTGTTGAATTTGATGAACTATAATTCTCAAGAAGAATAGATTAGAACTTAGAATTGTTAACTCAAATATGTTTACACCTTGATCACAACCAAGGTTGTCAAAATCTAGGTGTTTGGTGGGGATTATACAAGCAGTTTATAACTTATTTTAATTTCTAAGTTTATGTCAGGCTGTTTGGTGCAGGTTTTTTTTTTTTTTTTTTTGATAAATTTTGGTGCACTTTTGTTTATAGTTTATTAGGTAGAAATAGCTTAAATAAGCTGAAAAATACTGATTTTTCAGAAGTTGAGAGAGGGATGCTTTTAGTTTCTGCTTTCTAATTATCAACTTTTAGCTTTAAAATAATCTCCACCAAACACATAATTTAATTTTTGGGGATTATAGGATCAGATTGTAAAATTACTTAATAATTTAATTTTTTAAAAATATTTCTTAAAAAGTATACACAAATAAACCTAACTCAAACTAAATGAAGTGGAAATATTGTCAAAAATACAGTGCTTCATATAATAAAATGTTAATATAATATTATACATAGAAAATGTTTTGAATTTCATCAAAAAAGGTGTTGAAAAAGAGTTATATAATAGAGTACTTTGCACTCTACAACAATGCATAAAAAGAAAAGAAAATATATTAACAAAGTTGGATTTGAAAATAGATTGAACACTTGAGTGGCATGGCCCAACAGTAAGACTTGCTATTAGCATCTTGGGTGGCACATGTCCGAGTCATAAAAACAACCTATTTAGAAATGGGGGTAAAGTTTGTACATCTTGCCCTCTCTAGACCTCGCTAAGACTAAGTTTTTTATTTTAGCTAATTAATTTTCTTAAATTATTACAATATTTAAATATCTATTTTCCTAGTTTGTTTTTCTTAATCTATTTGATTCAATATATTTTATTTGTATTCTTGTGGACCGTGTAAAATTGGTATTTAGGAAACAAATGTAAAATTTACAATAAGATAGTTCATACAATACAAAACAAGACTTACAAATTGAGTTGGGTAGGATCCGATCTGGGATTCTGTGATTCTATAAGATGTAACCATCAGTATCGAAAGATCCTACCTACACTACAACAGATTTTCTACATGATTTGGATCCATTGTGTCCAATTGGATAGTAACGTCGTAGGATCGTAAGATCTAATCACAACTTAGTGGACTATTTATTATTGATTTACTGTTGAATTGAAAAGTTGCAAAATGATTAGTAGACACTTTTTTCATCTAAAGAAAAATTGTAGTCCTCGTTTTTTGTTGCAAATAAAAATGATTGAAACTATTAGTCGAATAGCGCAAAAAAAAGAAAAAGAAAAAGCATTGAATTGCGATGAAACAAAAAACCAATTGATATAGAAATTACAGCAATTGGGGCAAAAGATCCTTCCATTAAATGCTTTAAAGAAACTAAGAGAGAGAGGAGAGGACTCACTGGATGCCAAACGTTGGCTTCTCACTCACGATGCTTGATTGCTGTTCGTAGCATTGCCACTGCATAGAGCATAGGTAAGAAAGAAATATAGCTGGCTCTGTTCTGTCAATGCTCACTTAAGTAAGAACTTTTTTTTTGTGCAAGTGAGACCCAAAATTGTATATAATTTTAATTTGAACCCCCAAATTCTTTTGGCCTTATTTATTTTTCTAACACTTACAATTTCGGGGCCCTATTTTTGTTCAAAATCTGGGTGCCTTGGTGGCCTATCTCCAGGTCCAGACCTGTTAATACCATTATTACGTGCTGTTTGCTTTCATTTAGGCATTGTAATTTTTTTCAAGTTATAAATCATTTATAAATTGACACCCATTTTGTCAGATTTATGAATGAAAGCATTCTATAATGTGGGGTCTATTATCAATGAAATTAAATAAGCTTTCTTTCCCACTGTTTGGTTGTTGTGAAGATTCAAGATAAGAATGTTGAATGAGCTAAATTGGCACATTATGCTTTTAGTTGAGTAGAGGGTTTGTTATTTGGGGTTCCCAGTAACCCAAAATTTGAAATACTAACTTCTACCTTCCCTAGTGATTGGATTTGCAATCATACAATACCATTGTGTCTATTTTAGGGAAAAGTGTACAATGAGAATTCTATAAGTATATGGACTTGAATTTGACTTCAGCTACATTTTTCATATGATTGTGGTGTAAATTCGCAGTAATGTGTTCCACATACCTTTTATATATTTGAATGTTAATGTTCAAAAAGTAAGAAATATCTATATTACTTATGTTCTAGGTTTCTAAGTAGAGCTGTATACTTCATTACCTAACATTAGTTAGTTTTATATTGGTCACCTTAAAGAAGCTTAATAAAATCCAATATACCACAATTATTTTTAATATTTTGGAAAGCTGTATGTAGCACTTAATTACTTCTCAAAAATAGAAATGAAATTATCGCACTAATAGTATTGCTGGTACAAGTAAGCAAGTGGCCAAAATTTGTGTTGGTTAGCAGGTTGAAGCACATAACAAAACCAATTATTTATATCATGTCTAGGCAACTCATCATTAGCTTTTCTGTGAACCAATTCTTGATTTATTTGTTTTCTTAATTTGGTTGTCATTCTCATGGAAGCATATTTTTAGTTGATCTCCCTTTAAGGTGCTTAAGGACCTGCTGCTTAAACGCAATTAATTGATGTTGTTAGTACTCGTAGCCAAACAGCATAATTTATCTATTGGAAGTTGTATTGATTTTTGTTGTTTTTTGTCACATGTAATGCCATGGATTTTATTTTGATTGAGAAACTCTGACACATATAATCATAGATCTTTAACTAGATTTGGTGAAAATATTTGAGCGGACTTGGTGCGAGTATTTTTGGTTTTTGTTATTTTCTGTTGCATATGGAATGATGGATTTTATCATAAACTATTCAATGAAATTTACAGCAAAAAGTAGAGAGCCTATCTATTTTCAGACACAATGCCTTTTATCTACTGCATCACCACCAACATCAACCGCAACAACTACGGTGCTTGAGATGGAAAAGTTGCGATTACTGTCTTTAGAAGCTCATTCAAATCCAGTTACTGCAGACAGACCATGGACATATATAGGCACAATTGGTTCACCCACAGAGGTTAGAATTGATCTATTGAAGTCAAGAACAATAAAATTGTAATGCTTTTAGACAAAGCTGGAGCTTTCTTTATTTTTTGTAGTTATTTATTTTTTTTTTTCTAATTTCATTTTCCTTCTCTTCTTCTTCTTCTTCTTCTTCTTCTTCTTCTTTTTATTTATTTATTTATTTTTGGTGGTGCTTTGGGGGTGGGGGGAATTAAAAAAGGTTACACCAAAGGTTAGGCCATTAGGCTTGTGAACATAATTTTAATATCTGTGCTTTTTAGTTTACTAGTGTTTTGTTTGAACCAAGTTGAGGTTTTCTTTTTCATCTTTCAAAGTTCTAAGAAAAAGGGGGAATGTTTTTTTATGAATTTTATGATTGATTGACTTCAGATGCACTTAAATTTGAATGATTTTAAGTAATAAGCAGCTAGTAAGGTGTTCTAGTGTACGATCAGTTAAGCTCATTTATAGTTGCTAGTTAGGTTCTCATGTCAGCTTGAAATTATTACAGTTGGGTGTTCACAAGAGGCTGTATTATTGCACTCTCACTCATTTAATCCTAAAATTATTATAAAGTCATGTCCTCTTCTTTAAATTTATTATAAAAAAAAAAATATCATATGTCCAGTTCATGAAGCATATGTTACGTGGACATGGGCATAGGTGTCGGGTATAAATGCGTATCTAGAGGTCGAACCCATCTAACCTTAAATTTAAGGGTGCACAGACTCGGCAAAAAAGGGTCATTATGTTATATTTATTATGTTTAATTAACATATTATGTGAGATAAAATGGTTTTATATATATGTAACAACATACAGTGTCTAAAAGGCATTTTACTCATTTTATAACAATTATACAACAATATATATATATATAATGATGGTGTTAACTTAAATACAAATATATTAGAAGTATTCGATGAAAAGTATTGGACACATATTCCACTCTTATCTAAGTATCAGGTGTCCAATATGGGGATTTGATTTACTTTGAAGAGTCCATGTAATATGAAACAACAACTTGATTTTAAGATAGTCCCTCATGCTTGCCATTTATTGGACGGATATTCACCTTGCAGTCAAACTTTGGAGCAAGTTTGGCTACGGAAACTCTTCTTACAAGTGAAGAGGCTATTATAGCTGCTGCTGCTGCCAAAGCAGTTGCTCTAGCAAAAGCAGCTGTCAATGTTGCAAAGGACGCAGCAAAGATGGTTAGCCATAACAGCTCAACAAAATTGGATGCTGATACCCTCCTATTTGATAGAGCACAGCTTGAAGAAATAAGACAAGTTGGTGTAGCTGATTTGGAGGAGAACTTTTCATTGCAATACCCTATTAAGGAAGATGATTTGGAGCCAATGAGTGAGGAACTTGAACTTCTTCAGGCACAAATCTCAAATGATATAGCTGTGAGATCAAGGCGTCAAACAGAACGAAAAGCCAGAAGAGCGAGAGCAGCAGAGAAGGCTGTGGCCAACATTGTATCTGTGAAATCAAGTTCTGCAAGCCGAAAAAAGCATAGTTCTTTACAAGATGTAGACTACTCTGATCCATTACATTACTTGAGGGGAACTACAAGTAGCTCAAAGCTTCTCACGGCTACTGAAGAACAGGAATTGTCGGAAGGAATTCAGGTATGGTTCGTATTTTAGTACAATTGATGCTTTAAGAGCATCTCCAATCCTTGCTCTCTCTCTCTCTCTCTCTTTTGTTGGGAAAATTACACATCAGATCAGCTTTTCAAAAATAATTGAGTTTATAAATTAATGTGAATTTTTTTTTCCCAATCTTCAACTGATTTGTTATTTTCCCTTTTTTGTCCCCATCAAATTTGAGTGAGAATTTGATTAAAAGCTTGATCTGAGAGCATCTCCAACGGTGTACCAAATGTTTCACCAAATCTGAGTCGAAAATGGGTCATTTCCTTAATTTGATACTTCGCGCTCCAACGGTTCAACATCAAATCCGTTTCATCAAATTTGCTTTCTCCAACAAATCTTTTTGAAAAATTTTAAACTTATCCTAAAAAACTGTTTTAATCATTTTTTATGAAAGAAAAACCATCTCCAATCCTTACTCTTTTTAAATTTTCATCAAATTTGAGTAAAAATATGATTGTTAGGAATTTGATGAAGGATTTGGTTTATCTTTGTTTGGTGAAAAAATTGCCTCTCCTTTGATTTGATACAGATTTGATGAAATGGTTGGAGCCAAGGTTTTAAAAAGCGGCCGCAACCGTTACGTAACACCGTTACGTAACGGTTGTGGTAGTTACCGCCATCCGTTACGGCCGCTTTTGCAGTGTGATTGAGATTCATAGGTGTATCGGTCGTAGCGGCTGCTATAGCGGTCGTAATGGTGCCGCAACGGCCTGTTACGCACCGTTACGTAACGGTTTTAAATTGCTTCTTTCGAAAAAACGGTTCCGGTTACCGCAACCGTTACGCTACGGCCTTTACACCCCGCAACCGCGTCACCGCCACCGTTACTACAACCGCAACCGCTTTTCAGAACCTTGGTTGGAGCACATTTTGAATTTGATGAAAAAAATTAATGAAGGATTGGAAATGCTCCAAGGGAAATGTCTTTTTGGGATCACTAATCCAGTTATGTAGAATCAATTTATTCTCATTGTAATCAGCATCTGCCCTGATTGGTGGATGATGGTGTGTTGGTGGAGATTCTTAAAGCAAATGATATATAATAAATATAGTTCTACATGGGTATCAATTTTTGGCAGAAATTAGCAACAATAAAGGAATTACTTGTACTGGAAATGAAAATATTTGGATAAACAATGTTGAGGGCAGGCTCTGATACAACTCCGCAACATGAGGTGTCCGAAGTCTGAAATCTACAAACTATTAGAATACCCTGCAAAAACATGTCTAGCTAATTTAAATGAAGAAATTTGGATAAAGAATATTGAGGTCAGGCTTGGATACAACTCCCCAACTTGATGTTTCCAAAGTCTGAAATTCTAAACTTTATAAAATATTGTGCAAATAGCATGTCTTGAAAACCTTCGAAGACGTCTCTGTTATTTATTCTAGCATTACTTCAAAGAAGCAATTTGCATTTGTTTGCTTCGGCTCTTGGGCTTTTGTGCAGGAAGCTTTAAATATAATTTCTGCACAGCTTCCAAATTATTTGGCATCATACTACTTTCTGGAGTGAATGGTTTTGACTTGGCATCATTTGGCATGGTGGAATTGTAACATTGACAAAAGTAACCCACGAAGCTTGCTTGTAGAATTTTCTTCAATTTTTTGTTGGGAAAGGGAACCTTTTTCTTTTCTTTTCGTTCTCCTATTTTTTAGTGTGTTTTGGAGATATAGGTACTCATTTTCTTTTTCTTTTTTTATTTTTAAATTTATGTTGTATGATTGATAATATGTTCTATAATGCAGGACCTCCTGAAATTGGAAAAACTCCAAGTGGAACTTGCTGAATCTTGTGGTGGTCAGCCCACCTTTGCACACTGGGCTTCAGCAGTAGGTGTTGACCGGAAGACCCTGAGAAAGCGTTTAAATTATGGTATCCTTTGCAAAGACAAAATGATTAAAAGCAACATACGTCTTGTTATTTCAATTGCAAAAAATTATCAGGGAGTTGGGATGAATCTCCAAGATCTTGTTCAGGTATGCAGTCACATGATTGGAGGTTTTCTCAAGGCTATGTTTGAATGGCAGGATTCAAAGATCAGGAATGGGTATCTCATTACGAGGAATCTCATTCCTATCATTTAAGTGTTTCAATAATTGAGGAATCTTATATAGGAAAATTAATTTCTCTCATTGAAAGTGTTTATTTTGACATTTTCAGACATAGAAATGTGAGATTACTGGGGGCAAGTAGGGGGATCATATTCCTCCGTAGTTAGGAAACTTATTCTGCCTGGAATGGTAAATCAAGGATCACATTCCCATTCAAACTGCATCCAAACGGTGGAATCATGAAACTCGGAATCACAGTCCCATTCCCCTTGGAGATTACTGCCATTCAAACATAGCCTATAAAAGCCATCAGGAATGCAATAATGTTAAGTAAATCCTGCTGATTTTGATGCTTGTAATAACTTAATTATACTAATTGACTCTCAGGAAGGTTGTCGAGGCCTTATACGAGGTGCAGAAAAGTTTGATGCTTCGAAGGGGTTCAAGTTCTCAACTTACGCTCATTGGTGGATTAAACAGGCAGTTCGGAAGTCGCTTTCTGATCAGTCCAGGACAATTCGCTTACCAGTAAGTTTTTCATCAGTATTTCAAGATATTTGCTCTCTGACTAGGATACATGGTTCTTTTCAATGGCGACGATGAAAAGAAAAATAAAAATAAAAAGTGCGATTTTTTACAAACATATTTTTTACCCTTGGATTTGGCCTGTTGACTTCACAGTTTAACATGGTTGAGGCGACTTATAGAGTGAAGGAGGCCAGAAAGCAGTTATATACTGAAAATGGAAGACAACCTGATAATGAAGAAGTTGCCGAAAAAGCAGGGCTCTCAATGAAGAGGCTTCATGCAGTACTCGCAACCCCTAAAGCTCCAAGATCTCTTGACCAAAAGATTGGAATCAACCAGGATCTCAAACTTTTGGTACGTATGTTTTCTAAATTTCTATTCCAATGAACTCCATGGGTATGATTGTAGAACGCACCAACTTACTTGAGCTCGACTTCTGTTGAACTCGTTAAAAGCTCATTCGAGATTGGCTCACGAGTCAAGCTTGAACTACCTATTTGAGATCCGTTTAAAATATAAGCAAGCCAAAGTTGAATACGTTTTTGAAGTTCATTAAGTTATCAGACCAAGCTTGAACAATCTGTTACTCGCTCATTTATAGCTCTATCCATGGGCGGCATTTTTTTCCATTCCGTCCCAATTTTCACCACTTACATTACACATTTTATCAGTTTTACTTATCCCATCATGTGTTGTATCGCAGGACGTGATTGCAGATCCTGAAGCGGAAACATCAGAAGAATTGTTGATTAAGCAATTTATGAAGAAGGACCTCAAGAAGGTGCTCGACACACTCGGCCTGAGGGAGAAACAAGTAGTAAGGTGGCGGTTTGGGCTCGAAGATGGAAGGATGAAGACATTGCAAGAGATTGGGGAGTTAATGGGCGTGAGCAGAGAGAGAATCCGGCAAATTGAGTTGTGTGCATTCCGAAAGTTGAAGAACAGAAGGAGAATCAAACATTTGCAGCAGTATTTGGTTTCATGAGCCCCGGGCAGGTCGAAAATTCAGATATACTTGTCCTGAAGAATGAACTAGCTTTTCAAGACTCTAAGCTTCGTTCCTTTTTTTTATTTATTTATTTCTTTTTCTTATTCCATCAATTTCTGAGAATGTTAGGAATTGTTTGTTCATAGAAAAACAAAAAGTTTTGAAATCAAAGCACTTCCAATTTTTTTTTTGAATTCGTAATTAAATTTTGAATTTGCTATGTTACAAGTGGAAAAAGAAAATGTTTCCACCGGCTTCTTGGATGATATGGGTCTTGTGGACGGTCTGCATGAGGGCATTCATAGAAAAATATTTGGTGGTCTAAATTTTTGTAATTTAAATAATTTAAATGTGTTAAACGACGTCGTTTTATATTTAAAATAACATCATTTTAAATATTTCGAGTCATTTTAACCATAATTTTCCGAACCATCTATCATTATTGTCATCATAAATCGTAGAAGGAAAATGTCAATTCTTTCATAATTATCATACAAAATTGGATGAGGTGTCAGTGATATTTAATTATATTAAAAGCATCCTAATGGATGAGGTTTTTGACTTTCTAACTGGGATGGAAATAAATATAGTGGAATAATGTCATGTGTATCAATTTATGTATTAATTAATGTATTAATTGATGATGTAATATAATTTAAGAGATTTTTAATATTTATTATGTGATCAATGAGTGAGATCAATAATAATGTCATAATAAGTATTAATATACTAGTTAGTACATTAATTGGTACATGTAGAACCACCGAAGATAGTGGGGCTGTTTGGTGCAATTTGAAATATGTTATATGTATTAATTGATATATTAATTAGTATATTAATATATGTTATGATATTGTTACTTTAAATTATCGGTGGTGCTACCTACACTAATTAGTGTACTAACTAGTATATCAACATTAGTTATGACCTTATTATTTAACCCACTCATTGATAACATTACAAATACCAAAAACTTTTTAAATTATGCTACATCATCAATTGGTACACTAGTTAGTATATCAATTAGGGAAAATGAGTGAGAGCACTAATTAGTGCTACCACTAATAATGTGGCAGTGGACCCCACCATGAATGATTTGATATTTTGACTTTGGTGTTGTATTTTTTTTATTTTTTTATTGAGTGTCATGTCATTAGTGATCTTTTTAGAGTTCCAAAATTAGTGGTCTCTATCATTGTTGTATTAATTAGTACATATAGCATTATTTTTAAACTATAGACCCCACATATTATACAAATTATAAAGATTTAAAGTCTAAAAATTATGTCGCATCATCTGTTAATATACTAATTAGTGCATATAATTTTACTCTTTTAAATTTTTAAATTTCAAGTGCGATGTGACTTAATTATGAATAAAATTTTGTTTTGAACTTTTCATTTAAAAGATTTTCAAATTAAATATATAGCTATATGTGACAATAGTTTAAAGGGGAATTACGCTCACACTATATCAATCAAAAATATTTACACAAAAATGAAAAATATTATAAATTTTTTCACTAATATGTAATATTTTTATTTAACTTACACTGAAAAATAAGTTCCCCATAGTTTTATGTCAAATATATTTTTTAGTTTTTAAAAATTAAAAAAAAATTGTAAGATTTTTTTATAAAAAATTAAATATAAATTTTTTATCCAAAAAAATAGAACTCTGCCTAATAAAATTTAGAAATTAACATTAATAGGCCGTGATTAATATGTATTCCATGGATTTATATTTATTATTATATTATAAACAAATTAAATCTGATGAAGAAGTGGTCCATCATTATTATAGTTTAAAAATTTTATTTATTTTTCATATCAATATCATAAAAAAAATTATACATTTAACAATTTGAAAGGTTATAGTTATGAAATTTGAATATATCACCATAATAATTAAAAGGTCAATAATTATTATTAAAATGAAATGACCAATGAATTTATGATACATGTATTTTTGTATTTTATTAATTCATAAATATTAAAAAATTGGATTAGAAGTTTTAAATTTATTAACCTAATAATATAATAGTATAGATAGAAGTATATAGATATAGATATAGATTTCATACCATAACTATTGAAAGTAAAAATAGTAATTACAACATTGCATGTTTTGAAATCACATTTAAGAAAATAATACTAATATATTACTGGTAATGATTAAGAGCATTTAAAAATTAATTTAATGGACAATGCTAGAGATCACTAAAAGTGGTACGATAAAGCAACCACTAATGATGTGGCACATACTTTTAAAAAAAAAAAATAGAAACAACAACATTGTGTGCCACATCATTAGTGGTGACACTAATTAATGCTCCCACTCATTTTCCTAATTTAATTTATATAAACTAGATTTGCATTAATCACAAAATGACATGTGTATTTTAAGTATTAAAATTTTAAAAATAATATTTTTATATAATAGTATAGATAAGTATAAATATATATATATATAACTTTCCAACCCCGGTTGGTAGCTCGAATATAGGGGCTCGAATTTGGTTCGAAATTAGGGGGAAGAAGAAAGAGGAGGAGGAGGAGGAGGAGGAAGGAGGAGAAGGACTGGAGGGGGCCCAATTATTAGGGCTGGAGGCGGAGGAGGGGGGCGGAGGCACGATCGGGCGGAGCCGACGAGCTGCGAGCTGCGAGCTGCGACGGCGGACGGAGGCGACGAACGAGCTGCGAGCTGCGACGAAGACGGCGGGCGGAGGCGACGAGCTCCTCGCGACGAGGACGGCGGGTGGAGGCGGCGGAGGCTCCCTCTCTCCTCTTCCAAAACGATGTCGTTTTGCCATTCGACCCAAAATCGGCCCACGCATTTCGAGCTACCAGCCATTTTTCATAACTTTCATACCATAACTATTGAAACCAAAAATAGTAATTACAACATTACATATTTTGTGATTATCACAAAATTTAAGAAAATGATATTAATATATTATTGGCAATAATGACACATAAATTTTTACATTATAAGAATTCAAAAATTTAAGAAAAATAGATTGGGGTTTTCAACAACAAATACCTCATAATGTTTTTGCTTATATTATACTATTGTAATATCCGTGGCCAATAAATAATTAACAATTAATTTTACAATTGAATAATAAAAAAATAAAATTAATTAAATTTTAACTATTTTTTATCACAGTCTCACTTATGATTTTTTTTTCTATGATTTAAGTTCTAAATAACAAATACATGTGTAATTAGTAAAAATTAAATAAAAAATATGATAAATTATAAAATTGTACTTTTTGTTTTAATTTTTGGGAACAAAAACTACACCTATGATAAAATATAAATATATTATTATTTTTCAAGGGTTTCATAGTTTTAGTTTACCATATATTAGATTCATGCGATAATATAGTAAATGGTGAATTATACTCGTAGTCCCGGTAATTTGGAACTCATGTTATTTTAATATCTGACTTTTCAATTGTGATATATTTAATTATGAATTTTAAATTTTATTCCAAACAAGGACAATCAAAGATCTTTCATTTGCAAATAGTCCATTTCAAGGGTAAAGTTATCATACAAGTTATTTTGTATTTGTTAACTTGTATGTTGTTTGAAATGTAATAGTCTTTTTTTAATGAATTATGTTGGAACTTTCTTTGTTATAAAGTTCTGTTTGGTTTGATTTTCATAATCTATTTTGAATTTTTTTTCCTAAGAAACTAAAAATTAGATTAGTGAAAAAAATTAAAAACATTTCATTTTATATAATTTTATATTTTGGGAGTGTATAAATAATTTGTTAAAATATTTTTTTATATATTTATTTTCGTTAAATTAGTTTCTATTGTTTCAAAAGTCAAATATAGCGACAACTTTAATGTCATTATTAAACTAATTCATTAAATCAAAAAATTCAAAACTAAAAATATTTCATATATTAAACATTTCAATTATACATTAAAAGCCTAATAACTATTTATTATATGATAACCATCCAAAAATATCGATTAATAACAAATACCATCATTTATTATATGATAATCATCCAAAAATATCAACAAAAACAATCACTCATTACATGATCATCATTCAAACACATACTAAAAATTAATTTGGTAAAAAAATTAAAGTAAAAAGTAAAAAAGTTTATCATTGTTATATAATTTTATTTTCAGTGGGTATAAATAATTTTAAAAAATTCAAAAATAATTTTTAAGAATTTAAAAATAATTTTTTGATATTTATTTTTGTCAAACTATTTTTATTTTATCAAATTGATGACTTTGTCCTTAAAATTGAGTAACAATATCTTTAATTGACCTTATTTGGAACGAGATTCAAAATTCATAGTCAAATATATCACAACTGAAAGGTCAGGAACCAAAGTGATTCAACCTATAAACTACAGGGACCGTTAGTGTAATTCGCCTAATAGTAAACTATGTGTATATATATAATAATTAGTTCTTTTTTCTTTTTTTTTCTTTTTTTTTTGTGAAACTCAATCTAATAAAATTTGTTTAAATCAAAAAAATTAAATAACAAAACGAAAATGACAATCAATGGACTACTAGTGACTCCTATCATTTTGTCCTTCCTCAAAATCAGTATTTGCCTACTAAGTTCAATTTTTATGTTCTTTCACACTCACTAGTTTTAGCAACTCACATTGGACCCTTTCCTTGTTCTCCCCTCTCACTCACCTTATGACTTTCACAGCCCCATTCATTCAACCTTTCCCCTATTAGACATCTCAAAGGCACCGTCAGACTGACCTATTCAGGGGACATCACGACCGGACTAAATCCGTGACCGGACCTACTCCAAGCCACCCCGGACCGGAGTAACTTTACATCATCCTGGCCGAAGTAACATTATCCTTTCCTGGGCCAGAGTAATTATACCTCTTCTGGGCTGGAATAACATTACGGCCTTTTAATGAGTCCTTCATACTTTGGGCCACAAAGTCCATCTCTTAGCTCGGCCCAATTTTTCCCAAAAATTACCCTCTCAATTGCCCCTTAATTCCATCTGCAACGCATGATTTGGGATTACAAGTCCATCAACCGAGCTGAAGTTATTAAGCCTTTCCAGCCGAGCTAAAAACCCTTTAGCCTCTCCAGCCGAGCTAATTTTACTTCGGGCTTTACTTTGTCCGGTCAAAACGTCTCTTCAATCATGACTGTAACGCTTTCCTTTCCGTATACACGTGGCACGCTCCCATTCGTAGAAGGCA